ACTGGCACCTCTCCAGCTACCAGGCCGGAGAGGTGAAAGAGAGTATTTTTTTGTTTTGTTTACATTGGCAAAGTTTTAAATGTCCTATTCTATTTGAATGCATCACTCAGTTCACATAACCCCACGTGGAATTACATTTCATTTTGTAAATGCAAGCTATTGACGGAATTTATTTCATTTCAATTGTGAGTTTAAAGTAACTAGGAGGGTAATTTTTGGTGCAGTTTCTCTCACACTAGTAGGCCTATAGTGTATGAGGAGTAATTAAGCACACTTCTTTGATACCTCTGAAAGCATCTCAGTATGTGTATTTACTGTTATTTTATTTTATGTTATCCTGTTTTTGATATGGATATGATATATTTTGAATATTAATGGTTACTTACCGTGAGTATTATTGAAACACTGTTCATATGAACAGTAACGCAAATGAGTTCTTGAATGTTTAGTCCTCATATTTAAACTTTGATATCTTTGAATGTTTAATGTTGTACAACTGAAACTGAAGATTTGAGATTTATTAAGATTTAAGATATATGTATGAGGTTTGATGCAATATGTAGCATTATGACATTTAAACCTTTAGTGATGCATCTGACAATAGAGTATAACAGATATGACCTTGTTTATAGGTCAGGTTTTTGAGAGGACGGGAAGATTCGAGGACCAGGACGTTATCCTGATTGTGTCAGATGGCGAGCCGAAACCTTTGAAGAAAGGACATTGACAAGGAGATACACACGTACAATCACACACATTCACATTACACTCCCATGAACATTAAATATCAGGTGTACCTGCAACAATTTTCAGTTTTGAAAGGCCCCAACGGACACTCTTATTTCATTTTTCATGTGCACACTTTTTGTTTTCTGTTGTTATTTGGGTCATTATTTTATAATTTTGTATAAATTGAACATTTCTCTTTATTCAATGTAAAAATACAAGAGTGGCTACTCAACATTCCTCTGCCTGATTCATTATTGCTACTCAACGTATTGGCTCCTAACGAATTTGGTGTCTTCTGATTCTGGCCGTGGTCTTATTACTAGTCCAACTCGTTGTTATACTGTTATTCACTTTTATATCACTAAAATTGGTTACATTAAGCATCAAGACTAGAAACAGACTAGAAGCAGTTGGAAACCACAAGTAAAACATTGTTTCTTGTATCAGTAAACAGGAACTGTTTATCTGTATCCAGCCAGGCACAGTGACTGTGTGCAGGAGTCTTATTGTCACAGTGAGTTTGATATGTTTGATACAACCATGCTTGGTTTTAGCACTTGTGCTCACGTACTGCATAATGCCAACTTGCACTATAACCAGAGA